TTTTGTTTTTTAGACAGAGACTCACTCTGTCGCCCAGGCTGGAGTGCAGTGGCACAATCCTGGCTCATTGCAACCTCCATCTCCTGGGTTCAAGCAATTCTCCTGCCTCAGCCTACCAAGTAGCTGGGATTACAGGTATGCACCACCACACCTGGCTAATGTTTTTTTATCTTTAGTAGAGATGGGGTTTCACTATGTTGGCCAGACTGGTCTTGAACTCCTGACCTCAAATGACCCACCTACCTCAAGTCTTCCAAAGTGCTGAGATTACAGGCCTGAGCCACCACACCCAGCCAAGTGCTTTTATTCTAAAAGGTATGATAAATACCTTATGAAAGTCACATAAAAATAAGTTCTAGAGATCCGCTCATGTCTACAGTTGACACTATTGTACTATACACTTAAGAAATTTGTGCTGATAGATCTCATGTTAAATGTTCTTACCAAAATTAAAAGAAAACCATAAAATACACGATACTAAAATGGAAGTTATCCATGCAACTAGCTTTTGTGTCTTCTTAAATTATAATTGTTTCTATTACAGAAAATAGAGAGAAAAAGCCATCGATAATCACATCTGCAGGAAATCACCACTATTATTTTGGTGTCTTTATTCCAATCCCATGTGTCTGTCTACGTGCACACATTTTTTTTCTTTGAGACAGAATCTCACTCTATTGCCCAGGCTAGAATGCAATGGCACGATCTCAGCTGACAGTAACCTCTGCCTCCTGGGTTCAAGCGATTCTCCTTCCTCAGCCTCCTGAGTAGGTGGGATTACAGGCATGTGCCCTCATGCCTGGCTCATTTTTGTATTTTTAGTAGATACGGGGTTTCACCATGTTAGTCAGGCTGGTCTAGAACTTCTGACTTCAGGTGATCTGCCCGCCTCAGCCTCCCAAAGTGCTGGGATTACAGGCGTGAGCCACCGTGCTCGGCCACATGTGCACACATTTTAACAAAACTGGTAGCATAATACAATTGTGTATCTACCTTATCCATTTATTACATGTCTTTCCCCTATCATTATATATTCTAGAAAAATATAACAGTCCATGTTGATGACATGCTTTCTTATTGCTTATTTATGGGTTTGATGTTGTTTTTGTTGTTTTGTGTGTGGGGTTTTTTTTTTGGGGGGGGGGTACTGTAACATTTAGAGTAACACCTTGTAGAGAAAAGTCTTGCTCCACAGCTCTGATTATCTCCATAGACAATTCTTTTAAATGTACTTCTGGTTTAAAGAGTAAGGACACTTTTCTTGAAAAGATGACTAGGTTTCTCTCTAGAAAGGGTATATATCACTTTATGAACTCTAATCAAATGATGTATCAGAGTGCTCCACTTCTCTATGCAGTTCCTAACCTTATAACAAAACCATATTTTTATAAGACTTAGTAAAAAAACAAGAATAAGACACACTTGTTACCGTACCTACCTGAGCTTAAAATATAAAACAGTTTAAGGAAGTTAACATTAGTCTGCATCTGTGTCTTACCTATATATATATTGGCAATAGATGGTAATAAAAGTTATGGGGTAGAAATAAAAGAAATACTAGGCAAGCATCTTAGAAATCATCTAGATAAATACCCACCTTTAGGAGTCAAAAAACCAAGACACCTCCAGCACTCAAAAAATGGAGATGTATAACTCTACACAGCAAACTAGGCATCATAGAGCCTGAGTTTTCTAATTCTTAGACCTTGGCACTACCTATAAAGTGACTCATGAAATTTCATGAATATTCTTTTTTTTTTTTTTTTTGAGACGGAGTTTCGCTCTTGTTACCCCAGGCTGGAGTGCAATGGCGCGATCTCGGCTCACCGCAACCTCCGCCTCCTGGGTCAGGCAATTCTCCTGCCTCAGCCTCCTGAGTAGCTGGGATTACAGGCACGTGCCACCATGCCCAGCTAATTTTTTTGTATTTTTAGTAGAGACGGGGTTTCACCGTGTTGACCGGGATGGTCTCGATCTCTTGACCTCGTGATCCACCCGCCTCAGCCTCCCAAAGTGCTGGGATTACAGGCTGAGCCACCGCGCCCGGCATTTCATGAATATTCTTATTCATAAAATGAAGAAGTATAATCATGAGCTCTCTAAAATCCCTTCTGAAATTCTTCAATTTTTACAAACTAGGTTTAAGAGGCTCTCCAGTGAAAGAGAAAGCACAGAACCTGCTCAGCTACTCTGAAGGCTGAAGCAGGAGGATCACTTGAGCCCAGTTCAAGACCAGCCTGGGCAACAGAGCTGAGAATCCCATCTACTGGAAAAAAATTTTCGAATTATTTTTATAGTATTTACCTCGTAATGAAGGGCTCTGTTGTCTCGGGGATACCCCTTGTTGTTGTCTAGTGCCAAGAAAGAATTCAGGACAGGGACACACACGAGGAGTGGGTTTAAGAGCTTAGAAGAGGAAAGTTTAATAAAGAAAGCTTCCTCGTGCTGAGAAAGCAGGTCACCCAAGAGAAGGTCTCTGGGTTTGAGGTGGAATGCAATCGATTTTGTACAGAAAATTGAAAAGGTGGTGGGGAGGGTGTGACAGATTTACATAGGGCCCAGGAGACTGGTTTGACCAGGTGTGCCATTTACACAGCCCATGGAAAAACTGGCTCTGTAAACGTAGCACTTTAGGAGGCCAAGACGGGCAGATCACCTGAGGTCCAAAGTTTGAGACCAGCCCAACCAACATGAAGAAATCCCATCTCTACAAAAAATACAAAATTAGCATGTAATCCCTGCTATTCAGGAGGCTGAGGCAGGAGAATTGCTTGAACCTGGGAGGTGCAGGTTGCAGTGAGCTGATGTCACACCATTGCACTCCAGCCTAGGCAATAAGAGCAAAACTCCAGCTCAAAAAAAAAAAAAAAATTACTTCATTATGCAAATGGGGCTTCTACCTGGGGCCGCCATGATACCTGCACCCACAATTTTAGCTGGTGGTCGCCATGACACCCCACATGGTGACAAGGAAAAGGGAGTGGGAGACCATACTGAAGGTACCTGGCTTCCAAATACAGCTGGCAACATTTACATATAAAAGCTTCTAGCTTGCATATTTCTGCTTGCTGCTTGACTTTTCAGGCTGCTTTCTGTTAGAAAAGAAATGTTTTAGGGGCCAATTTTTTTTTTTTTTTCTTCCAAGACGAAGTCTCACTCTTGCCCAGGCTGGAGTGCAGTGGCACGATGTCGGCTCACTGCAACCTCTACCTCCTGGGTTCAAACGATTCTTCTTCCTCAACCTCCCGAGCAGCTGGGATTACAAGCAGTCCCTGGCTAATTTTCGTATTTTTATTAGAGATGGGATTTTACCATATTGGCCAGGCTAGTCTTGGAACTCCTGACCTCAAGTGATCCACCTGCCTCAGCCTCCAAAAGTGCTAGGATTACAGGTGTGAGCCACTGTGCCCAGCCAAGGGTTTTTTTGAGACAGAGTCTTGCTCTGTCGCCCAGGCTGGAATGCAGTGGTGCAATCTCGGCTCACTGCAACCTCTGCCTCCCGGGTTCAAGTGATTCTCCTGCCTCAGCCTCCTAAGTAGCTGGGTTTACCAGTGTGCACCACAACACCCGGCTAATTTTCCTATATTTAATAGAGATGGTGTTTCACCATGTTGGTCAGGCTGGTGTCGAACTCCTGACCTCATGATAAGCCCGCCTGGGCCTCCCAAAGTGATGAGATTACAGGCATGAGCCACTGCACCCGGAGGGGCTACTTTTTATTAAAGGAGAATTCCACTGATAACTTTGGCCCTTTCTAGCTACCCAAAAATAATTTAGTTAACTCCTTTATTAATAGTGTTGTTAGAAACAGTAATGTGTCAGAATTCCATAAACTACTAAACTATACAAACATACAGTTTAATTACATATGTGCAAACTCTACACATTTAAGGTGTTATTTTGTAGCATCAGTGTATCAAGCAAGAAAAGGTTCTAAACTTGAACTGTAATTTCAAGGCAAGGCAAAACAAATATTACATAGGATATCAGATACAAAGCAGTGTCATGAAAATGAGTATATGTGAACAAAAGCTGTGGCAGAATTAAGGCCAGATAACCAATCATAAATGCATAGAATGAACAGAACAGCCCTATGTTATGCAAGGACTTCCCAGGGAGGTTTAGTAAGCCAGCTGGTAGAAACGTTTAAAAAAAAAAAAAAAGGTATTTGTAGGGAAGGATAGGGAGGCTTCCATTTTGCAAGAAGGAAGTATAACCAGTTAATCAACAGCTCCATCAAGTTCTACTAGGAGTGCCTGTGTAAATGAAATTCTGCTTTTAAAATGCCTATTGTATAAAGGTCTCTAGAAAACTCAAGCCCTGTTCTACAAGCCCTAGCAGCCTGACAATTCACTAAGCATAGAAGAGGGGAAAAAAAAAAAATAGGAAAAAAAGTGCGTAAGCCCCTCTGTAATATAAATGTTTGGATATATTTAAGATAAATACCACATAAATCATTGCTAAAAGTGAATTCTATTTTTCTAAGTTTTAACAAAATATGGAAAGAACAAAGACCACAGTCAAAGTGGATGGGAACATACGTATTCTTCACACAGTTCCATTTTGGAAGGTTGTGGGGGAGCCTATTGAAATTTGGTGTTTTTTTTTTTGTTTTTTTTTTAAGTGAGGATAACAGGAAAACTATTGTAGTTTACCTCTGTCTGCTACAAGCTGATGTATTTGGCAGGGTTACTATTTCCCAGATCTTTTTTTCACGTTTTGACTAACGAACTAGAGGCTACTGCAAAGAAAGAAAAAGAACAGTATTACGCATTTGTGTGCACAGGATCCTAAATCTTGACCCTCATTTTTTTCAATCGCCCCCACAAATAAAGCCAGGCTGTTTAGACCTAGTGAAGCGCCAGGAGCCTGGAGCTCTTTCTATTAAGCAGCTTCTCGGTTAGGGCGCCCTCCCCCGGCGCCATGCAACGTCTCCAGGTCAGCGCCAGACGCAGCAGCGCGCTCTAACCCAGGGCCCACACCCATCTTTTCTTTTCTAGATATGGAGACGCTGGTAGCAGGGCCGAAGCAGGTCTTCGGGACAACAGATACACTGCCCCGGCGCCGACCGCAGACCGCTCCTCCCCACGCCCGTGACAGTGCCCCGCTGGTTTCCAACGCGCTGCCGGGACTGGAGCTCAGAAGGCCTTCGCCAGTCCCCCACCCACGCAGGTCCCTGCTGGCCTGGCCAAGTCCCCACCCTCACTGCAAGCTCGAGGACCACCCCGCTTCCCCGAGAGTAGCCGGGCGGCGGGTACTTATCTCCGACCTCCGGCAAGCGGGAGAGGCCGCGCTACCGCCTGTCCTCCAACCGCACGGACCGCACGGTACGCGCCCGGCAAGGCAGCAAAATGGACTCGCAGTTCCGGCGAGCCCCGCCCCCGCCCCGCCTCCCTCCCCTCTCCCCCTCGTCGCCCTCTCCCTCCCTCCCTCCCAAACCCCGGCGCCCGCGTCCGCCGGCACCTCGGGCCCCGCCTCCCCGACCGCTTCGTCTGCGTCCGGCCTCCCCAGCCGCGCCTTGTCCCAGCGGAGGGAGCCGGGAGGTGCGGCCGCGCTTCTTCCGGCGTCTCCAACCGCCGCTGGCTCCCGCCGCCCACCTGGGAAGGGGAGGGCCAGGCTGCGGGCTTTTCTCCCTTCCAGAGGCCTGCGCGCGCCAGAAGTCCGCCCGCAGGGGCTGGGCCGCAGCTCCGGGAAGTGGACAACGTTCGCCCAGACGGTGGGCTCGACTGGACGCGGCGCCATCCCGGATGGAACCGCCCAGGAAGAAAGTCTCCCAGTTAAGCCGCCGTGCAATAAGATGGTTGGGTTTGGATTGTTGTACTTTTTTTTTTGTTCGTTGCATTTTTAGGAACAAAAAAAAAAGCCCAACCCTTCACACCACTTCATCCGCATCTCAGGACCAGAAGCCGGCCCCGTGGCTCCGGGAAATTGAGCCCCGCACCCCACAAGGGGTAGGGTGGGACGGGCACCTCCGCACCGCGCTCCCCACGGAGTCACCGATTCGCGTTGGGAGCGCGCCAGGGCTCTAGCCTGGGGCTCCGGGCAAGGCACCACCTTAGAAGAGGGTTCTGTATCGCCCCTCACCCCCACCCCCAACCGTGACCCTCTTTCTTTGCCGGCTTTACGCAGGACACCAAAGACCCAGTTCTGTTTAAAATTCTCTTTTAAGAAAAGGAACCCCTGCTTTGCCTTTGGGGGAAAGGATGAACTTTCAAATTGGCTTTAAAGATCCACCACTTAACAGTTATTAAGTCGCTAACCTGATTATTTTGTCCATCCCACGATAGCAAACGCACTAAGCACTTACCAGTGAGCGGTGTGAAGGATGCAGACATGGATGATGAAGGAATGGCTCCTCCAAAATTGACAATTAGGGGAAGTGAGGCGAGTACAGAATCTCAGAACATGCTGCAGGATTGAGTTTGATCCGAGTTGAGGAAGTTTGGGTTTGGGGGGACATCGGTTATTTTGGAGAAACGGTATTCGAGACTTACCATACATGGCAGTTGAGCCCCTTGGCTAATAATCCTTAGTCCAACCTCCATAAAAGCCCCTGACCACATCCTTCTCCTGAGATTCCCACTTCTCTTTGAGCATCTCTCTTCCTGCTTTAAGAAACCTAATTTTGCCTTCTTAGAAAACTTCTTTTAACTTCTGTCATTCAGTCTCGTAAGAACACTGCAATATAGAAATCATGATCCTCACCCTATATAAATGAGAAAACAAGTGAAGTCACTTTTCCAAGGTAAAAGGAGACAGAGCTGAGGCTAAAGGCAGATTCCAGATATGGGTTCTTTCTATAGCACCGTAACTGTCAGTGACAAAACTGCACCCCAGTTCCCTACTAAGTGTTTTTAGGCCAGGCACAGTGGCTCACAGCTGTAATCCAAGCACTTTGGGAGGTCGAGGCGGGCAGATCACCTGAGGACAGGAGTTTGAGACCGGCCTGGCCAATATGGCAAAACTTCGTCCCTCCTAAAAATACAAAAATTAAAATAACAATGAAAAATTACCCGGGCATGGTGACGCACGCTGGTAGTCCCAGCTACTTGGGAGGCTGAGACAGGAGAATCGCTTGAACCTGGGGTTGCAGTGAGCCGACACCGTGCCACTGCACTCCATCTCGATCAATCAATCAATCAATTTAGTGTTTTAAAAAACAAAGTGATCTATAGAAACATCTCATTATTTGTTATCGTTGTTTGTTGATTGATTTTTAAGACAGGGTCTAAGCCGGGCGCGGTGGCTCAAGCCTGTAATCCCAGCACTTTGGGAGGCCGAGGCGGGTGGATCACGAGGTCGAGAGATCGAGACCAACCCCGTCAACAGGGTGAAACCCCGTCTCTACTAAAAATACAAAAAATTAGCCGGGCATGGTGGCACGTGCCTGTAATCCCAGCTACTCGGGAGACTGAGGCAGGAGAATTGCCTGAACCCAGGAGGTGGAGGTTGCGGTGAGCCGAGATCGCGCCATTGCACTCCAGCCTGGGTAACAAGAGCAAAACTCCGTCTCAAAAAAAAAAAAAAAAAAAAAAAAGACAGGGTCTATCTCTGTCTCCTAGGCTGGATGGAGTACAGTGGCAGGATCGAGGCTTACTGCAGCCTCAACCTCCCGGGCTCAAGTGATCCTCCTGCCTTAACCTCCCAAGTAGCTGGGACCACAGGCATGTGCCACCATGCCTGGCTAATTTTATTTTTTGTGGAGACAGTCTCACTATGTTGCCCAGGCTGGTATCAAACTCCTGGGCTCAAGTGTTCGTCAGGCCTCAGCCTCCCAAAGTGCTGGGATTACAGGCGTGAGCCACAGCGCCCAGCCATATGGAAACATTTCAGATATCCTGACATTAAAATGATATTTCACAAGAGTGAACAGTTACTAACTCATGTAAAAGGAAGATCTTGGGACCCCAAAATCACTAAGCTAAAGGGAAAAGTCCAGCTGGGAACTGCTTAGGGCAAACCTGCCTCCCGTTCTATACAAAGTCACCCCCTCTGCTCACAGATAATGAATATCTGATTGCCTCCTTTGGAAAGGCTAATCAGAAACTCAAAAGAATGCAACGTTTTGCCTCTTAGCTCCCTAAGACCTGGAAGCCCCCTCCCTGTTTTGAATTGTTCCACCTTTTCTGGACCGAAGCAGAGTTCATCTTACCTATGTTGATTGATGTCTCATGTCTGCCTAAAATGAGAAACCAAACTGTGCTCTGACCACCTTGGGTATGTCAGGACCTTCTAAGGCCATTATCATGGGCACGCATCCTCAACCTTGGCAAAATAAACTTTCTAAATTAATTGGAATGTGGCTCAGATTTTCAGGGTTCACATTCAAAACCCACACATTATCCTTAATAAAATTATATGACGCATATTTATTTAGTTAGATCTGGTTGGTGGTAGATACTAATAAACTTTTGCCCAACTAAGTGTAAAACTCATTAAATCAGTGTAGCAATCTAGACTGTTAAATGAAATTAACTACTAACTAGAAAATGTAGTATGTCAAACTCTCTTAAGTGTGGAAAAATGGAGAAGGAGGAATAACCCTTTATCTCCTCCTGTGGTCCTAATACACAGAACAGTGAACCAGAAACTGCCACAGGTAAAGTGACTAGAAAAAGTTGATTGCCCAACTAAAACCTGCATACACAGCTATATCCTTCCTGGAAGAGCACAGTGGAACTAAATCCTGGTAGAGATAACACAGGGATTGTCAACATTCTTGTCACACTGGAATTTCCTTCTATTGATCTTCAAATAGATAAACTAACAACTGAAACTTGGAATTTATATATCAGCACAGCACTAAGACTATAGATATATCTAGACTTTAAGTTTCATCTTGTGTGATAAATGTATCATGCCACCCGCCACCACCACTGGGCCCCTGAAAAATATATAAATAGTAAATTTAAAATATACTACATATTATCATATATAAATTTTTAGTATAAAATGTATATTCTTGCATTGATTTACTTCCTGGTATTGTTTTCATCCTGAGCCTTGACAAAGATAAAATCTTCTCATCTCTCCTCCCCACCTACCCAGACAGAAGTGATCAGATGTTCTATAACAAAAGGAACAGTGCCAAATTTAGTGTACAGTGAAGTGTAAATTGTCAGAGTGAGGAACATCTAATAAAGCCCGGAGCAACTGTGCATAGAGGAAGAGGTCTGATAAAACTCCTCAGATACAATGGATTTTTTTTTTATTATTCTGTCCTTCCCTTTAGCTGCCAGTTACAGATGCAAGCCCCAGCATTCCCCAGTGAGAATTCCTGCCAATAAAAGACACTGACAATGCAAGAGGTCGTGAAAAGAGCATAGGGTTTGGAATCAGTTCTGCATCTAAACTCTAGCTCTGCCATTTACTAGTTGCTCAAGTTACTTAGCATCTCTAAGCTCAGTTTTCTCCTCTGTAAAATGGGAATCATGATGCATTAGATCATGAAAATTAGGTAATATATAAAGCAACCAACATTGCGTCTGACATACAGTAGGTGTTTAATAAGTAATTGGTGCTGTTATATGCAAGAAGAAAACCATGCTCATTTGTAGGCATGATTTCCCTAGATCTGTAAACTTGGGACTCAAGTACAATAGTCTTAAGCAGAGTTAAACTGCCTATGCAGTAGAGGAAGCTAGCACCATAATTTCTGCTTTTCTGCATCTAGCCCAGGGTGGCCTTTAAAAACATATATCTCTCCACTTTTATATCTCTTCCTCTGTGCTTGGATAAAGGAGAGAAAAATGAAAAACTTCAAACTCAATGAAAGGAAGACCTTACTGTTTTTTGGGTTTAAGTTCCATATTTTTGGAGAAATTGAACATTCAAATATTCCATTAAAAGGAAGCTAAAAATGCATTTATCACAAAACACAGAAACTTACCTAAGACTTGATGAAATTAAAGGGAATTAGTCCATGGTTTGAGGAAAATTCCAGACCCTTTATATTTCAGTTGCACAGTGAAGATCATGCATTAAATGGAGACAACAGCAAGATCAGTTCGTTTTGAAAGAGAATGAGAGACACTTAAGCAATAGTAAACGTGGCCTTTAGTTATACTATTTCTGTAGATAGAAAAACTGTAAAAATAAAGTAAAATAAGTCAGAGGTAATTAAGGTAATACTAGCATATGCTTATAATTTAGTACTCTGCCAAATTTTATAATTCTTAGGATTGTGCTAGGCACCAAAGGTAATTCCCATTTGGTTAAGAGACACAAGGCCGAGCGCAGTGGCTCACACCTGAAATCCCAGCACTTTGGGAGGCTGAGGCAGGTGGATGACCAGAGGACAGTAGTTTGAGAGCAGCCTGGCCAACATGGCAAAACCCTGTCTCTACTAAAAATACAAAAATTAGCTGGGTGTGGTGGCAGATGCCTGTAATCCCAGCTAGTCAGGAGGCTGAGGCAAGAAAATCACTTGAATCCAGGAGGCCAAGGTTGCAGTGAGCCGAGATCTCGCCATTGCATTCCAGCCTGGGCCACAAGAGCGAAACTCTTTCTCAAAAAAAAAAAAAAAAAAAAAATAGTGGTTGTTTAAACTCCAAAATAAGTGATGAAGACAAGGCCGGGGAAGGCACCAGAAACATAAGGGAAGATTTCATAAGGGAGGTAGGTGGGAGTTGAACTGCATCTTTTTTAAAGATCACAAGATTTGAAGAAGAGAAAGAGGAAGAGCTTTCGAGATGAGGAACACGGCACAAGCTCAGTGTGGAGATGAGCGTGGCTTGGTTTGGAAATAAAGTTTGAAGCCAAATATTGAAATGTTTTGCATGTGAGAACAAAGAGCTGAACTTCATTTTGTAGGAAGTGAGGAACCACTGAATAATATGCATGAATGAAAGCAGAATTTTAGCAAGATTGATCTGATAACTAGGTCCAAGATTTTAAGAGGAAGAAAATTAATTATTTATTTATTTAATTTTGAGACAAGGTCTCGCTCTATTGCCCAGTCACAGCTCACTGCAATAGCGGATCTGCAGTGAGATATTCCCACCTCAACCTCCCTAGTAGCTGGCACTACAGGTACCCTGCGCCACACCTAGATAATTTTTATATTTTTTGTAGAAATGGTGTTTTGCCATTTTGCCCAGGCTAGTCTCAAACTCATGGACTCAGGTGATCCACCCGCTTTGGCCAATCAAAGTGCTGGAATTATGGACATGAGCCACTATGCCAAGAAATTCATTTTAATATCTTGAGGTTACTGAAAATTACAGATTTTAAAAAATGCAATAGCATATATAAAAGTACAGCCTATATGGTTCAATCCTATTGAACCATTTAATATAATATTTTGTCAAAATATTCAATGTATAAATAAAATATAAAAACCATTAATTGTGGCAAATATTTTTCTAAAATCTTCCAAAAGGAAATTATATATATGTGAATACACATAATTTCCTTGTATATCAGTCGTATGTATAATTTATCTTTTTGTTTTCTCTTTTCAGAGTCTTGCTTTGTCACCCAGGCTGGAGTGCAGTGGTACAACCTTGGCTCACTTGCTCAGATAATATTTTGTATTTTTAGTAGAGACAGGGTTTTGCCATGTTGACCAGGCTGGTCTTGAACTCCTGACTTCAGGTGATCCACCCACCTCAGGCTTCCAAAGTGCTGGGATTATAGGCATGAATCACTGCACCCAGCCAATTTATCTTACTAGAATAATTGTAACTGTGTTGTGTAAAAGGGTGTTAACAGATTGCTTAGCTACATTTTAGAGTATGCTTCACTAGAGCTTTAAAAATCATTAGGTATATATTCTCTGAAATGTATTATTGTTTTGATATTTTAACAATGATTACATTTAATTATGACAAATGTTTTTCTAAATTTAATTCCCATATACATAGAACTTTATCTTTTATAAACAATAACTTTATGA